AAAACTGTCAAGTCATACCCATCAAATAGTTTTTTTAGTCCATTTTTTGAATTGAAAATAATTAAGTTCCATTAAGTCTACATAAAAATAATTCTAAACTTTAATGATTATTACATATTCTTCTCGCCATTTTGAAATTGGAAAAATTACAAGGAAATCTATAATTCAACATATGTGGTCAAATAACTAAAGCTGATATAGTCCATTATTCACTTTGCATGATAGAAAGAACAATGATAAGTGGATTAAAATATGTAGTTAAATGAAAGCTCTGTACAAAAGCTCCAAGAATAGTCAATGAAGCACATAGACATAGGCAAGAAATAATATCAATCACTAACGAGAGTTGTGATAAGATGAATAAGATCCTTCCACCCTTGATTAAAAGTCTCGATTTCGAGCCTGAATATAAAAATAATTCTTATAAGAAGCACTATTGTTGCCTGTATGAATTACTAAAGAACTTGGTTCTCTACCGTGTTCCTTAAGCATAAAGTAAATAAGCAATACAATGAAAACAATAATTTTTACGTAAAAAATCACCCGGCTCAAATGGCGCAAAAATCACGACCTACCACGTAGGATTTTCAACTCCAACTCCACTAGAACAATGAGCTAAAATGTATCAATTACAAGACTGTAATTCAAAACTCTCTAGTACTCATACGCTCATATTTGATTCACAAGTTACTCTAACTTGTAAAGCAAAATATTCACTCCAACTCACTAACTATTTTTTGACGTTTGATTACAACTCAATTTTCTAAAACACATTCACTAGACTGACTCGGAAGAATAAAAAGCAAGTACTCAACATAAGTAAAAATAACTTATGACACTTTATTTGATGTGTAAAAGGATAGTTCAGAAGTCCAAAGTCAATCCTATTTAAACAACTTGAGATCTTCTAGGAGTCCTATTCATAGTCAGCTTCATATTTGATAGGACTCCTACTGTTCCAAGGATTCCCCAAGCTTTGGGACTTTTGTCCTTAACTGAATTATTCGTATCTTCTTGAGCAACGACCCTTACCACTTATAGCAGCCATCTTTTACCAAACTCAGACCTGGGTAACTTTGAGATAAAGTTACTGTCTTGTACATACGTACAAGTATCAATCATGAGGAGCTAATCCTTTAACCTAAGGAGTTGGTTCTTCATAACAGTTAAGCAGCTACATTGAGGACCTGGTTCTTTGAGAAGTTAGTCACACTTTGTTAATCATCAAAACTTCAATACTCAACAACTTCCTCCTTTTTGATGATGACAAACTTTGTACACAGAATCGGGCAATCATATCAATGAGCCATATGATCACAACAAGTAATTTTGACAGACATGTATGTTCACAACCCACCAACCTTCCAACCTTATCTTCCCCATTTTGGCATTATCGAAAAAACACAAACACATGTTAGACATTAAGAACAGATAATATAAGATTCAAGGCCAAACATATAATAGCACAAGCATAAGAACAGGCAAATAAACTATGTTGATGATCCAATAGAGTACAAAACATCAAAGCAGAGCAATATGAGACATTAAGTAGTGCCAAAAGAAGCCCAGGTCCGTGTCTTCATCAGTAGAACAAAATAAACTAAGCATACTTCCAACTACTTAGACTAAGATAAAAGGAACAAAAGATAAGGAATCACTAGAATAGCAAAAGAACTAAGGATACTAGGAAGGAACTGGTTCAAGGATGAGAAGCAGAGGGGCCAAAGCTTTCACAAGGGTAGCAATCTGTTAAGCATGGTCCTCCCTATCTCTTCTGAGCTCTTCCCTGAGTTGTTTTGTTTCCTTTCTCAGCTCATTATTGTCATTACGAAGCTTGGCATTCTCTTCAACAACCAACTCCAACCTCTTGCTGAGTTCTGCAACCCTACTGCTACCCGAAAGAATGGCAGATCCTGTGGGTCCTCTAGCCTTGATCTCCTCACAGCCACACTGCTTGAGGGTAACAGTATCCAAAATATCATTGTGGTTTTCAAACTTAAGCTTAGGTAAGGCAATGTTGATCTTGTCAAATAACTCAGTCAACATGAAACCACATGGCACAACATGCTTTGGTTTGGAAGTACCTGCAGCTCTTGCCATGTGCTGAATCATCAGGCTAGGAAGATTGGTAGGTCGACCAGTGTCAAGCAGTTCCATCATAGCCATGTCTAGCAGAGTAGCTGCATGCCTTCTCTCATACCTCTAAAGAATAAAGGAGTTGACAAAGTGAAACAGTAGCTTGTGAAAGGAGTCATATCAATCTTGTACACTTTCTAGGGAGCATCTAGTTCAAATTTTTGGGAGAACTTCCTGGTGACCACAATGCTAGTGTCAACATTATTGTCTATGGCTAGCCATTTATTCTTCAAATAATTGTCAAATATCAATGAAGGGATATTCAGAAGCAGCCCCAGTTCCTCAGCTTCAAACTCCATGTCGAAGCCCCCTACTTTATTCTTGACTACCTTCCCATCAAAAGTGAAATTTGTGTAGAACTCCACCACAGCAGGAACACATACTGGGGGGGAAAGCTTTGACAAATATGTGCTTCCACCCCTGTAGCTCAAGTTTCTTAACCGGTTGAGCCATTCCCTTCTCATCAGTGTTCGCAAGCATCTTCCCATTTAGCACTTTTCTGTTCTTGAACTCTGTGAGTCGATCAACTGCATCTGTCATATTCTTTCTTGTCTTACCCCTACTGGCCCTTGCAGAAGAGGTAGCAGGTTTGGTGACTTTGGCTCCCTTTTTCTTTGGTGTGGCAGACTTTGCTAGCAAGGCTGAGTCAGATTCATCTTCTCCATCCACCTCAACAATATGTTCCAAAATTGTAACCTTCTTCTTTGGCTTCTTTGCACTTCTGTACTGCTTCATGATTTGTGCATCAACAACCTTTCTTTTACTCCTTGTGAGGGGAGTTCTAGCAGGAGGAACCACTTCTTTCCTTGTTGAGACTGCTGTCTTTGTAGCTTTTACAGTGGTTTTTCTGGACTTCTTCCCTACCTTAGATAGTGGCATTTCATCTTCATCACTGCTAACTTCTTTATCTCTAATGAAAGGAGTTAGAAAAGACCTAGGTTCTTGAGCCCTTGTCTCTTCACCAATTTCTTCTGAAGGGTCTATGACAGTATTTCCAATTGTCATTGAACCTTCAGGTTCCTCACTCACATTCCCCTCTTCTTCCTCACTCTCGCCATCACCTCCTTCACTCTCACTTACCTTTTCTTGATCCTCACCCTCACTTTCAGAAACCTCCTCTTCTTCATTATGATTTTCTTCTTCTGGAGAATTATTAGCATGTTCACCTGTCTTATCCTCTGTATCACTCTCCTTATCATCTCTAGATACTCCCTTATTCTCACTCTTTTCTTCTTCATTGGCTATGTTTTGAGCATCATGTTCCTCATGATTGTTCACAGCTTCTTCCTCTTTTTCACCATCATCATCTTCCTCATTCTCAGTCCAACTAAAATCAAGGCCATCAGAAGCCTCCCTTTGCACTTGTTCTTTACGTCCTTCCCCTTCAACCATAGGCTCCACAGCCGTTGTATCTACCTCCTTTCCCAAATCCCCTGTACGCTCTTCTACCATGAATTTCTCCATTGGCGACTTCTCACTCGTAGGTGGAAGAGTATCTAGGGGTGCAACATCTATAGTAGAAACCAAAACATCTAACTTGGAAGTAGGATGTGGTACTTGATCAGTAGTGCCTATACCTGATTCCCCATGAATCAAAAATTCCTTGACTCTAGTGTTACCCTGCGTAGCAGCCTCAGGCACTTACTTGACATATTTTCTTGAAGTTGCTTTGACCTTTGCTGACTTAGAGGTATTTTTCGTAGGAAGCTCAAGTGCAGAGGTAGTTGCTTTTGAAGGAGGGGGTACAATGGAGATGGGAATGATAGGAACATGAGCAGTAGGAACAGGGGAGGATAAGGTAGGTATGGTAGAGGATATCGAAGGAGAATGAGCAGGTATGGGCGTGGGTTCTCTTGAAGGCTTGTCATTTTTCTACGATTTAGGCCTCAAGATTTTGGGTTTTGCTTTAGCCTTGGTTGATGATTTAGCTTTAGAGGGTGTTTAACTGGCTTTAGGCATGGTGATCAGATGAGAGACTCGAAGAAGAGAAAGAAAGGGTTTGTTCTTGATAATTGCTTTTGATTCTTGCTTAGGGTTTGAGAGAAACAGTAAGGTTAGAGAAGTTGATCATAAGAGCCTTTTAAATGCGTTACTCCTGATTTGACTAGAAGAGAGAAGGTGACCGAATTTGAATTCTAACGGGACTCTTATAAAGGTTACTTTGACTGTATGGTTTTCAGGAGTAATTGATCTCTAATTGCATAAGGATTCGCCCTTACTCTTTGACTAGAAGACAATTAGAAGTGATGCCAATGGAAATAAAAGTTTGAGTAAATCAATAATTTTTAGAATATAAAGTCCTAATGACTAAACACAGTATGGCACATACCTGAGTCAAAGAACCAACTCCTTAGAAACTCCTTATTCATTTTTGCAATAAAGCTTCAGCACTTCATATTAGTATCATCCAACACAGTTATCAGCTAGATTTTCTAAGCAAGTGTGTGAGCTTAATACAAGTACAAAGCTGAATCAAACACATTGTACTTAATTATCTATGTCTTATTATGCTTTTTCTAACCAATCACTGGGAGTAAACTTAGTGGGAGGAGTTGATTAGACCTAGTTCTAGTCTATTCCTTTCAAAGTGATCCCTACTCAGAGCTTTAGTAAAAATATCAGCAATTTGATCTTCAGTTTTGCAGAAGTTAATTGAGATATGCCCTTTTTCAACATTGTCTCTGAGAAAGTGATATCTAATGTCAATGTGCTTGGTTCTCTTGTGTTGACATGGATTTCTAGCAATGTTTATGGCACTGGTGTTATCACAGAATATGGGAACACAATCAACAAATATATCATAGTCCCTTAGTTGTTGTCTTATCCATAGTAACTAAGCACGACAGGATGCTGCTACCACATATTTAGCCTCGGCTGTAGATAAGGACCACTGAGTTTTGCTTCTTGGTTCCCCAAGACACCAGACCAGAACCTAGAAAATGAGCTATTCCTGAAGTGTTTTTCCTGTCAACATGAAAACCTGCATAGTCAGCATCAGCATAGCCAACTAGTTCAAAGTTGTACCATCTGGGATACCATAGACAGAGGTCAGGGGTCCCTTTGAGATATCTTAGTATTCTTTTGACAGCCTTCAGGTGAGATTCCTTGGGATTTGCCTGAAATCTTACACATAATCCCACACTAAACACTATATTAGACCTGCTTGCTGTGAGGCACAACAGTGACCCAATCATTCCTTTATATAGCTTATGTTCCACATTTTTCCCTTCTTCATCAAGGTCCAGCTTTGTTGCAATGGCAATGGGGGTATCAATAGACTTAGAGGAGTCCATGTTGAACTTCCTTAGTAACTCTTTGATATATTTTTGTTGATGTATCATGGTTCTAGTAGGTGTTTGCTTGATTTGCAGCCCCAAAAAGAAGTTCAATTCACCCATCAAGCTCATTTCGAACTCATTTCCAATCATCTCCGCAAATTCCTTGCACATTGCTTCATTGATGGCCCCGAAGATAATATCATCCATATACACTTGCACAATCAAAATATTCTTCCCTTTGCTCCTCAGAAATAGAGTGTTTTCCACCTTTCCTCTTACAAAGTTGTTGGCTTAGAGGAATTTTGAGAGTCTTTCATACCAAGCTCTAGGAGCGTGTTTTCAGACCATAAAGAGCTTTATCCAGTATGAACACATAGTCAGGAAATTCTTCATTTTCAAATCCAGGAGGTTGTTTGACAAACACTTCCTCCTTCAGGTACCCATTCAAAAAGGCACTCTTTACATCCATCTAGTATAAAATGCATTCCATATAGGCAGCAAAGGCTATCAACATTCTTATAGCCTCTATTCTAGATACAAGTGCAAATGTCCCATCATAGTCAATGCCCTCATCTTGATTGTAAACCTGAACCACCAGTCTGGCCTTGTTCCTTGTGATATTTCCTTGTTCATCCAGCTTGAATCTGAATACCCATCTGGTACCTATGATAGTTCTGTTCTTGGGTTTTTGTACCAAGTGCCAGACCTTGCTTCTCTCAAACTGATTTAGCTTCTCTTGCATGGCTATGATCCAGTCTGGATCCTTTATAGCTTCTTTGATGGTCTTAGGTTCAACCTGTGAGAGGAATGTTGTGAGTGCACATAGATTTCTTAGAGAAGACCTGGTTTGCACCCCTGTATTTGGATTAGAGATGATATTCTCAAAAGGATGTGAGCTTTGATGCTTCCATATCCTGATCTGTATACCTAAAGAAGATTCACCTGAGGAGTGACCCAAATGAACAGGTTCAGTAGGTGTGGCTTCATTTGTCTGGTCAGCAGTTAGAGTAGTTCTTTCTTCTTCTTGTTCCTCATGATACTGTCAATTTCTTTATGGTATTCAGATCCATCTTCATCATATTCCTTTGTATCTCCATCACCAGTGAATCCTATGTCATAATCTTCATCCTACAGACCTTTCTCAGCCAAATTGTTAGATTCATCAAAAATAAAATGAATGGTTTCTTTCACACACATAGTTCTTTTATTAAAAACCTTATAGGTCTTACTATGTGGAGAGTAACCCAAGAAAATTCCCTTATCACTTCTGTAATCAAACTTACCTAGAGCTTCTTTCCTATTATTATGCACAAAACATTTGCATCTACAGGCTCTCAGGTGAGTGATGTTGGGTTTTATTCCTCGAAGTATCTCATAGGGAGTTTTCTCAAGAATGGGTCTGACCATGCATCTATTTAACAGATAGCAAGAAGTAATGATTGCCTCGGCCCAGAAATATTTAGGCAGTCAACTGGAAATAAAAATGGTTCTCCCCATGTTTTCTAAGGATCTATTCTTTCTTTCTAAAACCCCATTTAGCTCTAGGGGTTGAGAAATTATGGTCAATGCCATGTGAGCCACATAACTCAAGGAATTTTGAATTTTCAAATTCAGTTTCATGGCCAGTTCTTATACTTAAAACATTACATCCTAGCTTTTGTTGAATCATTTTGACAAATACACAAAAACATCAAAGGCTTAATCTTTGGATCCCAAAAACAAAGTCCAGGTATACCTGGAGAAGTCATCAATAATCAAAAACACATACCTCTTACCTCCTCTGCTCTTTATTTTCATTGGTCCACATAGATCCATGTGAAGGAGTTCCAAAGGTTTAGAAGTTATTACAAACTTCTTAGATTTAAATGATGACCTAACTTGTTTCCCTCTAACACAGGCATCACATACCTTGTCAGAGATGAACTCAACTTTAGGTAGCCCAAGGACCAAGTCCTTCGCTGCCAACTTGTTGAGTTGAGAGAGACTGGAATGTCCTAGTCTTCTATGCCATAGTAGTGGATCATCTTCCATTACACTCAAGAATATGTGCTCACTCTGGGGAAGTGACATAATCGATATCCTATAGACATTGTTATGTCTCTTACCCTTTAGCACAATTTCATTAGTATCAAGCTTAGTGACAATGCATATTTTGGAATTGAATTTTACCTCATTTCCTTTGTCGCATATTTGAGAGATGCTAAGAAGATTGTGTTTAAGACCTAACACATCTTCTATAGCGTGAGAGAGTGACTTGACAACCTACCAATACCTGTTATCTGCCCTTTTTCCCATTTCCAAATGACACACTCCCTCATTGGAAGGTTGTCAGTGAGAGAAAGTTTTTCTTTTCTCCAGTCATATGTCTTGAGCATCCACTGCCTAGATATCAGTCCTGATTATTTTCTCTCACCTTAGCCTGCACTAAAATTCACAAGTTAGTTTTGGGAACCCAGCTAATTCAAGGCATCAGAAGATCTATGCCATTTTCTTAGTCTAGAGAGTTCATAATTAACCTTTTCTAGGTTTTCATGAAGGACTTTATTTCTACATTCAGTATCACAAAGATTATCATTAGTAATTTTTAATTCCTTTTCAAGCTTATCTTGCAGGTCACTCATTTTTCCTTTGCCATATATATCAGGAGACGTCTCATTCTCATAAGTAAGTTCAAGAACTCGATTCTTAAGGTCTTTGACTTGTTTCTCTAAACTATCTTTGTTAGATTCAAGCCTTTTGATATCAAGATTGACACAAGAAAGGTTGTTGATTAGCTGATCATTTTCATTACTCATTTTATCCATTTCATTCTTTAAGGTCACAATTATGGCCATCAGTTGCTTTTTGGACATAGCATGAATATTTTCTTTCAAGTCAAATATACTTACCTGGTTTTCCTCATCTTCAGTTTCTGAATCACTCATGGCGATCATTCCTATCACTTCTTCCTCTATTTTTTATTCTTTAATCGCCATCAGAGCCACTTCGATGTTTTTATTTCCAAAGTCAGTTTCCAAGGTCCTCCATATATCATGAGCAGAGATGCAAAAGGACACTCTGAGGATGGTGTTTCTACACAGACTTATGTAGAGAAAGTTCTTTGTTTTAGCATTTTTCTGAACTAGATGACGATCTTCCTCATTGTATTCCTCTTCTATTTTGTTGCACTTGTTACCTTCACCATCCAATTTGGTTGGGAGAATTGGTCCATGACTGACAATTACCCATAGGTCAAAGTCAGTAGCCTGAAGAAATATTTTTATACGTAGCTTCCATTCATTATAGTGGTGTTCATCAAACAAAAGAGGTCTTCCAATGTGCATTTCAAGCTGTACTGGGGGTTCTGTCTTCACAGCTTGGTGTTCATCAATCACAACATAGAGACTTATAGCCCTATCCTCCCATTCTTTCTCTTGATCACTCCCACTATCCTCATATGCTACCAAGAATGCCAGCTTCATTGCTTCAGTACATCCTTTGGCTAGGATATTTCCTTTGTTAGAACCCTCTTCTCTCATCTTCCCCCGGTTCTTTCCTCCGCTTGATTTCCCACATTGGGCAGTTCTTTACCATGTGATCTAGCTTGCCACACTTATAGCACCCATCATAGTTAGCTTTGTCGATATGCTTGTGCTTATTACCAGTCTCTCTCTTGGATGCACTTTTGGAATTCTTCATGAACCCCTTGAACTTGGCAAAAGTTGCTAGATCAGGATCATTATAGTCAGATTCATCATCCTCGGATACTTTAAGAACCAAGGCATTATCCTTCCTTTGTTCTTCTTTGCGCAGTTCTATCTTTCTCATTTCATGAGTTTTTAAGTTTCCAACCAACTCATCAAATGAGATTTTATCCAATTCCTTGGCTTCCTGGATTGCAGTGACTTTTGATTCCCATGAAGCTGGAAGGATTCTTAGAACTTTGCCAACCAACTCTTCTGAGGTAAATACTTTTTCAAGTGATTTCAGTTTATTGGTTATTATAGTGAACCTAGTCATCATATCCGGGATAGGCTCAGACTCCTTCATGGAGAAAAACTCATAGTTTCTTATGGGTAGTTCAATCTTTGATCTCTTTACTTGATTTGTTCCTTCATGAGCAGTTTGAAGTGCATCCCATATCTGCTTCACATTTGAGCACACAAAAATTCTATTGTACTTATCAGGACCAAGTCCATAGATAAGGATTTTCTTATCCTTTGCATTCTTCTCCATCATTCTGAAATCTACTGCCACAAATTCGGAGGGGTCCTTAGGACATGTTTCACTTTGTGCATTTTATGTAGTAGGAATCAAAGGACCTTGGCTTACTATGGTCCATAGTTCATAGTTTTCAGCTGTCAAGAAATCTTCCATTCTTGCTTTCCACCAACTGTAATATTTTTTATTGAACAGGGGTGGTCTAGTAGTTGATTGTCCTTCATTAATTCTAGGTGGAGCACTCATCTTTCTTTCAAGATCTCTCTAGGTGTTAGCCGTGTAAATGAGAGTACCCGCTCTGATACCAATTGTTAGTTTGAGTGCCTGTATGGATTACTAAAGAATTTGATTCTTTACCGTGTTTCTTAAGCGTAAAGTAAATAAGCAATACAATGAACACATCGATTTTTATGTGGAAAATCACCTGGCTCAAAAGGTAAAAATCACGACCTACCACGCAAGATTTTCAACCTAACTCGACTAGAACAATGAGCCAAAATATATCAATTACAAGACTGTAATTCAATACTCTCCAGTACTCCTACTACTCCTATTTGATTCACAAGTTACTCTAACTTGTAAAGTAAAATATTCACTCTAACTCACTAACTGTTTTTTGACATTTGATTACAACTCAATTTCCTTAAACATATTCACTAGACTGACTCGGAAGAATTTAAAGCAAGTACTCAACACAAGTAAAAACAACTTATGACACTTTAGTTGACGTGTAAAAGGATAGTTCAGAAGTCCAAAATCAATACTATTTAAACACGACTTGAGATCTTCTAGGAGTCCTATTCATAGTCGGCTTCCTCATTTATGGGACTCCTACTATTCCAAGGATTCCACAAGCTCTGGGACTTTTGTCTCTGACTGAATTATCCGTATCTTCTTGAGCAATGACTCTTATCACTTATAGCAACCATCTTCCACCAAAATCGTACCTAGGTAACTTTGAGATAAAGTTATTGTCTTGTACATACATACAAGTATCAATCATGAGG